TTTCCCCTGATTTTACTGCTCCCTCAAGCCTAATATAGGCGAGACAACAACACAATACAACCAACAACTCAAAAATAACCTACTACAATTCGTGACCTTTAATCCTACAAAACCCCAAGTATACCATAACACTCACAATCAACAAGTTATCAATTAGCTTGAACTTTCAACGACAAGCGACCAGACCACTATCCTACCACATGTGGCATTTCTCCATACCCTTTTATCCTTCCAAACTCCATAAATCGAACTCACAGCTTCCGATCACCGTCCCGTGAGTTCTAATTATTAGGAAATGAATTTATCAACCTTCCTAGATATTTAAAATCTTAAATACAGAAAGTAATTGTTTTCTCAACCATGAAGTAACTTCCAAAACTCAAATTACAAATAAAAAGAGAGGTGGTATAATGATACTTACGTCGTAGGAATCATTCTAATGTTATCGCTTCTTGATTTTGTGAAAGGGATGTTGATCTTGCTTGGAATTTCTTGGACCAGTTCTTGAAGAGCTTGAGAGTGTTTTGGTGTAAGTAATCTCTTTATTTTTGACGAGATATAAGGGTATAAGACCACTTATAAGCCCACCGCCTCAATTCTCCAAGCAGGTGGGTAAGCTGCTTGCTTGGCAGCTTGAGCAGTGCAACTTCGGACACTTGTATCTCTCTACTCTGATATCTTATTGACAAACGGTTTTCAGCCTTAGAAACAAAACACCCGGGGCTTTAATTTCATATAAAGATCTACCTGTAACTCTAAATATATTGGGAGAAAACTGCATCACAACCTGGCCTATAAACCTGCCAGTTTCTCCGAAGTGCGGCGATGTGACTTGGCGATCCTACTTTAAAAATCCATATTTCTCAACCCCGGTGTTGTATGAATAAATGGTTTGGACATTTTAAAACTAGGTTCCAAGACCTTCATTTTGGTATATAATATGTCCCAAAAATACCTCATATAACACATGAAATGTATTGCTCAAAACGCTTCATGAAATGATTAATCTGATTTTTTCCCAAACTTTATATTTCATATCCAAACATCATATATAATCATATCATGACTTTAAACTCATTTAAATCATAATTAACAAGTCTCATATTCATCTTAACTTACTTAAGACTTCGGTAAACCTTTCTTATCCTTGTAAAAGGATTTCGTCCTTTTTGAGTTTACATTAGATAATCCTATAATGACAGTGACGTCTGATGTAAGGGGTTTAACAACATTAAATCACTTTATATACTTTCAAAGAGCATCTCATTTCCGAGCTTTCATTAATTGACTTACAACGTACTTTCGCGTACAAAAACATGGGGTGTAACAGGGTTCACTTGGTTGAGCGCCGGTCACGCTCTCTGAGTTTGGGGTGTGACAGTACTGTTACTTGATTCATTGAGAGGGTGTTTAGTCTTACATACTAGTATTATTCCATATGTACTAATGTTCCTTTTGCCGGGGTCGTTGCATCTTTAATGGATGCAGGTTGTTCCATAGCAGGCGACATCAATCAGTGATAGCGGTACACTCTCTTCTCAGCTGACTTTGTGAGCCCCACTTCATATCGGGTCTTGTATCTTTTGTTCCTTATGTAGAGTGCTTTTAAGTATAGATGGGGCCTTGTTGCTGGGACCATCATATTACCCTTTTGTATCATTTAGAGGCTTCGTCGACATGTTGTGGGTTGTATCTTGGTTTTGGAAAGTCAAACTAGAAATGTTGTAAATGTATCACGTGTTTCCACTTCTAACTATGAATGTGTAATGTATTTTTGGGAATGGTAAATGAAATAACTAATGATAATGAAATTGGTGTTGTTCATTGAATCCTCTCATTGTCTAACGAATGGTATAAATCTTCACTTTATTCATGGGTAAGGTTGAGTAGAAGGAATCAAGTAGGCTTTCTTGACTGGGATATCTTGGTTGAGCGCCGGTCACGCTCCACAAAGCCTAGGCGTGACACCGATCCAACATCTTAATCAACACAGGGATACCCATCGAGACATAATCCACATACTCATAAAACTCAGGTGTATCAATAGCAAGCACGCAAAATGCATGACCATTAACATGGGGATACAAAAAGCACAATATACCACATACAGGAAAAGTACAACTAAGTTTCAATAAGCAATTCAATACCTCAAGAGCCATCTAGCTCATATATCACCACAAGGCCTAAATAGGATCACAACATATATGCGAATAATCAAGTCATCTCACAAACCATCATAGCATAAGAGAGTGACACATTGAATAGATCAGCGCACGAATAAGATCCACTCCAGCCGATGACACACCATGGAAAAATGCTATTCCCAGTACGCAAACCCAATGCGGTGTAGAATACCCATTCTGATTAGGCCTATCAATGTGCCTTAAAACCGATTTAGATCATTCCAAATTAGGTAATTAGCCATTCAAAAGTCCACAGTGACTGTATCCATGACATATACAATCAGCTGTCAAATTCTGAACACACTTCCATAGTTCGCAATCAAGGAATAGCATGCCTTCACGATAATCCAATCTCTAAGCCTCAAGGATACAAAATCATCATTTGTGATCTCTAACTCCCCCACTTAGGTGACTGCCACATTGCACATACGCAATCACATCATCAGAAATAATTCCACATATCTCCCGCATCAAGTAGAAAACCTAGACATCAACGATTATCAACCATGCGATTCTTGTAGTACTAGTCAAGCATCAGCAAAACAAAATATAATGCATATTCTGCAATACACATCCTTCTCGGGTGATATAAGAAAGTACTAGCGTTCTCTTATATAGCTGAAGTCTCTACTATTTTCTAAAACTCATGACCTTCCTCTCAAAACTGAACCGCAACCTTGTCCATGAAATCTCAATCCCACACGGTGTGCCCCATTTATCATGCTATCATATGAGAACATGAGAATCTCATTATCAACTATGAATCATAAGTAGGATAAACACTTCATCAACCAAAAATATCCCACTTAACTCAATCCAGGAGTACATTGCAACATGCAACAAACCTTCCATATTCGTAGAAGACATCAGCCTAAAGTCATGATCAAGATTATAGTGAAGTCTTCAGAACCTATTTGCATATAACCAGGACATCATACTCTAAATCAACGGCAATGACCCGACCAGATATTATGAGTTTTAGTACTTCATTCAATGTTTGAGACATTGAGTAGAATTATATTACGCATTATAACTTGTGTGTATTGTTGATTTTGATTTTTGAGAGGTTCGAAGTTGATATGGAAAAGTAATTCTCAATTCGAAAGCTTTAAGTTGGAAGAGTTTACCAAGGTTTGAATTTTGAGTAAACAACCTTGGAATCAAGATTTGATGGTTTTAATAGGTTTGTATGGTGATTTTTGACTTGGGCGTATGTTCAGATTTGAATATGGATATTCCTAGAAGTTTTGGCAGACGTTGCCAATGTGAAGAATTGGAGAGTTCACAAGCTTGACCGGGAGTTGACTTTGATGGTAACAGGTTTGGATTGTTATTTTGTAACTTAGAATAGGTTTTCTTTGTCAATTGGAACCCTTGTGCAGTGTTTGGTTCGAACCCGGATTGGTTAGGCTTGAATCAGATGCTTGGTTGTTAAAATTCTTGAAGTTAAGAGAACGGTCTTAATCTTTGATTATTAATTTTGATGTTATTAGTGATGTTTACAGCCTTTGAATAATTTTGGATAATGTATTTGGACTTGTTGGTATGATTGGACAGGGTTCCGAGGGGCTTCGGTGTGATCTGAGATGGTTTTGATTATTTTGGTGAAGTATGGAAATGCTGAAGTTGTTGGTGTTAGTGGTTCATCGTGATCGCGGAGTGGCCTCACAAGTGCGGAACGTAATTGAGGTAGAAGGGTTTTTTTTTTTGTGACACTGATATTGTGTCTGCGAAGAGCCTTGGTCAAGAAGGCCACGTTCGCGAGACTGGGCACACACTCGCAAAGCTGTGGAGTTTGGCCTGGGATTGGTGCTTTGTGTTCGAGGTCTTTTTGATGCTTTTGCGTAGAGTATATAGAAGATACATCATGTACTCACTCTAGACTTTGTGTTCACGAAGAGTAGACGGGAGCTGGAGGGAGATTGGCCTTCGCGATCGCGACGAGGCAGCCACGATTGTGAAGGGTTTACTAGGAGTAGACCTTTAAGTTGCCAATTTCGAGACTATCCCCAATATTCATATTTTGAGCCGTAGATTTAGAGAAGAGGAGATTTTAAAGAGCAATTTCACTACCACCTTGGAGGCAAGTGATTTCCACATGGATTTGGTTTTTTGTCTACACCTTTGTATTTTGGGGATTTGAGTATCAATTTGGACTCGATTTTGGAAACTAATTACATATCGGCAAGTTTTGGGCCATCGAATTTGGGTTTTTGTTTCGAATATCTGGCATGTGGGTCCAGATTGACTTTTGTTGACTTTTGAAATTTTCATAAAAGATCAAATCTGTATGGATTTCTTCCTATGGAATTGTGGACTTCCTTGGATGATGTTTGGCTTGGATTGCATTATTGGAGGGATAGAACGAGGTTATGATGCGATTTGAGGTTGAACACTAGCCCGGATGAGGCAAGTATCTTGCCTAAGCTTCGTTTGAGGGTAATTTTCCCGTTGGCTATGCTATTTGTTATGTGTTGGGAGTGACATATATGCGATGTAACGAGTGTATATGCACACACCATGTGTCACGACCCCCCACTAGCCGTGATGGCACCTAATCCAACCCGTTAGGTAAGCCAACTAATAACCATCCAATTTCAATAATATTAATAAGACAATTGAACAAAAAGAATTATCTGAATCTTATACATTTCCCCCAAGATCTGGTAGTATAAATCATGAGCTTCTAAGAATAGAATTTACAAAGTTAATATGAAGTAAATACATCTTCTGTTTGAAAAGTACATCAACTGAGTTTTTATAAATCTAAGGCTACCATGAACAAGAGGCAGCTATAATAGGAACGCAGGTACATGTTCAAATCCGGCAACCATCGAGTACAGCAACAGCAGCCAGCATCTGCACGCAATGTGCAGAAGTGTAGTATCAGTACAACCGACCCCATGTATTGAGTAAGTAACAAACCTAACCTTAGGTTGAAAGCAGTGACGAGCTGGAACATAGGTCGGGTCCAACACCAATAACCAATAGCAATTCATAATAACGTAGAGCATATAAATAAGAAAGTAACCCAACGATAAAAATGCTCAGCTTTTTACATTTTTTTCGAAAATAGTTCCACTTTTCAAGAATATCAGTGAAAACTTAAATCCTTTACCGAAATCGTCGTAAAATATGAGATAATTTGAAAACCGTAAATTTTTCCAAAAATCCTTTCCACAATAAATTATATGTTTTGTTTTCTTTCCAGATAGCAAGTGTGAAATACCTCTCTATGCCCACATATCAATGTGTGTAAAAAATCATGAATGACGTGATACTGTACAACATGAAGAAAAAATACATCTCTATGCCTGTATGTCATGTGTGCATGCCAATGCCATGTATCTCAAAGATGAATCGTGTGCTCACACTCTCAGAGTACTCAATCTCACTGTCTCACACTTTCCACTCATCATGCTCAACCACTCGGCACTTTATATGGCCCTTATAGCCTAGGAAATCCATACCAGAACATATACAACACTGACTATAGGTTACCCAGTACCGAGGAAAAAGGGCAATCCAACCCTGTGGAGAAATCCATCTCCAGGTATCAAGTACTTTGGACAAATCCATGTCCAGGGAAATCCATCCCTCAATAATATCACCCGCGCACACTGGGGGTGTGTACAAACTCCGGAGGGGCTTCTACAGCCCAAGCACTATCATAATCATCAATATAACTATTGTGGCGTGCCGCCCGATCCCATAATTGTCACTCATAAATGGGCTCTCAGCCTCTCTCAGTCATCGCTCTCTCCAATATCACTCACGGGCTCACAATGTCATGAAACTAGCCCGACAACAATGATATGATGTATCAATACACAACAACATGATTGAGTACGAAATATCAATGAAATCAGCGAGATGACAGTAAGAAGCGACCACTATGGGTCCTAACAATATCAGCATAAGGCCTAAACAGGATAGCTAGCATGATTCACAGTTCAGTTACTTAATCTCGTGGTGAAAATACAGATATCAACAAAATAGGGCCACTAAATATTGAGATGAAAATAAAGGAGCCACAATTCACCGGGTGCATGCCCACACACCCACACCCCTGTCACCTACTATGTGCGTCACCTCATCATCAATCACATAGCACGTAAATCGGGGTTTCATACCCTCAACACTGAGTTTAGAAGATTTACTTACCTCGAACAAGCCAATTCCAATACCGAGCAAGCTAAGCGATGCTCCAAAAATGCCATCTCGCGCGTTCCGACCTCTGAACGGCTCGAAACTAACCAAAAACAACTCAAATACATCTTTAAACATCCCGAATCTATCCACAAGCAGTTCAATACAATCAATATAGGATAAAGGAATTAATTCCAAAATCAAAATACGAAATTATAGCCAAAATCCGAAATCGGCCCAAACCCGACCCCAGGACTGTCACGACCCAAACCGATGGGCCGCGATGGATGCCCGAGTCCTACCTGTCGAACACCCTTAAGCATACGTCTAAAATATAAATATGAATAGTGTATGTGAGGGAAACCTGCCCAAAAGACATATATAGATAGACATACGAAATATAGTGGGGCGAGCCGGCAAGGCTGCTATAGACAACTATATATACCCAAAACTGGAAGCCGACAAGGCCACATACTATCCAACTATACATAATTGTCTATAGACCTCTAATAGAAAATGCAAATGTACAAGGAAGGGACTGGGCCGTGTCATACCCATATATGTATACAAGCATATCATACCAAAATCAATAGCAGCTCCGGATCAAGTGGAGCACCTCAACTCTCGCTGATCGGTGATCCTAAGAAGGGGGATTGTCGGCTTGCCTACCTACACCTGCGGGCATGAAACGCATACCCCGGGAATAGGGCATCAGTACGAATAATGTACTGAGTATGTAAGGCATAAAAATCAGTACATAACAGACATAGATGAAACATGGAATAAAGAATTCCGACTGTAAGTCTAAATCACTTTGTAAATCCTGAAACATTTATAATGTCATGCACGTGCGTATAAATGTCGTGTCATGCATAAATATAGGTGTACATAATATCATCGAGCCTGTGAGGGCAACCCATCATATCATCTCGGCCAGTGTGGGCAAAATCATCAACATATACCAACTGATCAGGTGGTGGTGCGTATATAATGTCGTAACTTTTTTCTATATCCCATATACATATAAATACGCGTATATAACGCCATCTGGTCATGGGTCAATGTACATGTATAAATGAATGAAATGCATGAAAATATGTTAATAATCTCAATATTCCTTTTGGATAAACGTCATGAACTGCGTATCATTCTGAGACCCATGAACAGAAGATATAATAATATGTCACATGGGGAATCAACAACATAGAGACCCCTAGTATTTCTATGAATAGAGTCGTTTATGAAAACTGTGCGTTTGCTCATTTCTTCTGTATAATTTGGATCATGCCAAAAAGAAAGAAGGGATAGCCTTAACATACCTGGAGTAGAGAAAAATCCGTATGATATTCTTGGAAAAGGTTGCACCGTACTCCTTTAGAACCGCAAACTTTTATGTTGCTAAGGTGCTAATAATTCTCGCTGGAAATGATTTGGTCGCAAGAATTTTTATTGGAATGAGTTTTAGCGTCTGGTTTGAAAATGTTTTGAATTTGAATTAGGAAGAAACCAAACTTGTCAGAATTGCTAACGTTCTGATTGTAATTCTTTTGTATACAAAATATAAGAAATGAAGTGTCTTTTAATTATCAATTAGGTTGACACCTAATAAAAATGACTAAGAGTCATTTGACTAAGAAGTGGCTTGCTGCCACGTGGGGGTGGGGATGGGGGTGGGGAATTTTAATCTTTATCCAATTTATTAGTTAATTAGGTAACGTCCCGTTACCCGGTAATTAACCAATTACCCACATAACTAAAAATTATCTCAAATTACTTAAAATACTACTCATTTTTAATATACTTTATACATCATACTATTACGGTCATATGGTACCTTGTATGGTACTAGTCCATAAATATCGGATATTATAGCTCGGACCGTATTTTATCCCAAATCGGCAACCTTCAACGAACCTCATTTTCTTTGATTCGTGTACCCTTTACCCTTCATGGAACTTACTTATTGCTTGTGATAAATAGCATAAATACGTTAACCTCAAGATAATCGCATCCCCGAGTCTACGTCGATTAACTAAAGACGAAACATTAACATTCGAAAGTATGTTCCCCAGAGACATAGAGATGCATGGCGCGCAGAGTTTGAGCAGTTGTGCCAGGGTTCTATGACCGTGTTGAAGTATGCGGTCCATTTCAGTGATTTGGCTAGGCATGCACCGGCCTTGGTTGCTACTGTTAGAGAGCAGGTTCGTTGATTTATCGAGGGGCTCAATCCCAGTATCAGATTTAGCATGGCCCGAGAGTTGGAGATGGACATCGCATACTAGAAGGTAGTGGTGATTACTAGGGGATTGGAGGGTATGTTGACTCGGGAGAGAGAGGATAGGGAGGCTAAGAGGTCTCAAGATTCAGGAACATACAGTGGTACCCGTGCCCCAGCTGCAACTCATCATGGTAGGGACTATGTGAGTCGCCCTATTCATTCCCCACTTCCAGCTTCTAGCAAAATTCCGGCCACTCCTAGGCCTCAGGCTCCCTATTATGCACCGCCATTGTTAGTGAACCTCCTGCACGGGGTGCTTTCAGCGGCCAATCTAGCCGATCAGGCCCGAGCCCGACTCGGCAGCCACGTCCTCCGAGAGCTTGTTTTGAATGTGGTAACACTCATCATATGGTGAGGGAGTTCCCCAGACTCAGGAGGGGTGCACCTCCACAGACTACTTAGGCTCCGTGTATTCCACCGGACCCTCAGGCTTCTCAGTCCATGGTCGCCACACCAGCTGCCGCCCCACTTGCACAACCAACTAGAGGCGGAGGTCGGGCAGGTAGAGGTCTCCCTAGAGGGGGAGGCCAGGCCAGATATTATACTCTTCCTTCTAGGATGAAGGCAGTTGCATCCGACTCTATCATCATATATATTGTTACGGTCTGTCATAGAGATGCATAAGTCTTATTTGATCCAGGCTCCACTTATTCCTATGTGTCATCTTATTTTGCTCTGTATTTGTGTGTATCCCGTGATTCTTTTAGTTCTCCTGTCTATGTGTCTACACCTGTGGGAGTTCTATTGTTGTTGACCGTGTGTATCGGTCATGTTTAGTTATTCTTAGTGGTTTTGAGACCAGAGCCGGTTTATTGTTTCTCAGTATGGTAGACTTTGATATTATTTCGGGCATGAACTGGTTGTCGCCCTATCATCATATCCTTTATTGTCATGCATGAAGCGATTTTTCATATATGATCGACCTTTTGTCATATATGATCGACCTTTTGGAGCGATTTTTCCAATTCTTGGAAAAATCATTATTTAATTATTTAAACTAGCTTCCTATAGTTATATTTATAGTATGAAATGATATTGTCTAGATTCGAGCCGTTCAGAGTGTGAAAATCGAGGAAAATACCTTCTAATTGATTGATTGAGCGTGTTTTGAGGTCAGTGACTTGTCTAACCTTGTCCGGGGGAAATTTCTCTTAGGACTTGGTATTTTGGTGATAATTTGTGATATGTGAAGGCCGTGTACGCAAGGTCACGAGTGCGTACACGGGCTAAATGTTGAAATTCCGTTTTTTGCTACGTAGTTCCTTGTTTTTGTTGATTAAACTCAAATTGTATTAATCATAAAGTATATATTTACAAAGCCAAGTAGTTGCTGACTAGCTACTATCGAGAATCTAAAACTAGTCCTAGATTACACATTTCATTCACACCTACTACAAATCTAGGAATTTCTTAAAACAACTGGGAAACAAAAGATGTACAGATCATTACATACAAAGGGACTAAGCAAATCTATCTTAGCTATGTAATGTCTGCTGTCATGATGGATGTCTTCTGCCTCTAGTGTGCATGTGAAGGATAATTTCTCTACAGATTTTGTGCTTCTCAAAAGTGCCTTGCTGGAATCTACTCATATTTCTTTCCCTCCATAAACTGCATATTAGCATAGCAAATACATAGCTAGCAATGGAAACTCACCCTTTTTTCTTTCTAGCGATTCGACATGCCCAGCTAAGCTCCTCTTTCTATCCATTTATGTTCCTTTTCATGCCAAACCACACTAGTAATCTGGTCCACACTCTTCTTGTTATTGAGCATTCAAAGAATAGGTGCTCTAGTGTGTCAGTAGTGGCTTTGCAGAAAGCACAATCCTGAGGCACCTGCACTCCTATTTTATTTAGTCTATCCACTGTAGCTAGTCTTTCATGTGCAGCCAGCCATAATATGAACTTGAATATGGGGTGTATGCTTGTCTGTAAGACTATGCTCTTCCAAGGGACTTTATGATACTGGGGCATCAACATAAGGTAGGCCTGCTTAATTGAAAAGTGTTCGTGCACCTGCAATTTCTTTAGTCGATCAATCAAGAATCCCTGCAAGGATTGGCTCTGCAGGGTCTCTCTAGTCTCTAAGATTTTCCTGATCACCCATGTTGCAGCCTTAGGTGTAGGCATATGCTCCAAGTCTAATTTTTTGATGTAGTAGTTATGAACCCATTTTATCAACAAGCAATCTTTTTTCTTGCAACAATCTATAATTGCTTGATCATAACAGCTTTGTTCCAAGTGCACAGGTTTATGACATTCAGGCCCCATGCAGTTTGGGGCATACAAACTTTTTCTCAGGATAGCAGTTTTTTTTTTCTTTTTTTTTGTGATGGATGCCTCACCAGTCCATAAGAATGATCTACATATTGTTTCAATCATCTTCATAACCTTCTTGGGTAGAGGGAATATTTGTGCCGAGTAGGTTTGAATACCAAACAACACTGATTTGATCAGCTGTAGTATGCCAGAGTAAGAAAGTAGCCTTGCAGACCAACAACTAATTATTGTTGTGATCTTCTCAATTAGGGGCAGACATTGCTGCACAGTTAATATTTTAGAAGACAGTGGTACTCCTAGATATCTGAAAGGAAGAGTACCCTCTTCAAACCCCAGTAGGTTCAAGATATCCTGCTTTTTATATGCATCCACCCCAGCCAGGTAAATAGAGCTTTTATTAGTGTTTGCTTGTAGTCGAGAAGCTATAGAAAATCTTTGAAAATCCCTTTGAAGGAGTTTAATGGATTCAATGTCCGCTATACAAAACATGATTAAATCATCAGCAAAACAAATGTGTGTTATGCCCAGCTTCCTGCATCTAGGATGAAAATTGAAATCACCATTCTCTGCAAGCTGCATCATTTCTCTTTGTAAGTACTCCATAGCAGTGACAATGAGGTACGGGGATATAGGATCCCCTTGTCTGATCCCTCCCTTTCACCAACAACTAATTCTTGATGTGATCTTCTTAATTATGGCATTGCCCCATTGTTAATTTTTTAGATGACAGTGGTACTCCTAGATATCTGAAAGGAAGAGTACCCTATTCAAACCCCTATAAGTTCAAGATATCCTGCTTTTCATATGCATCCACCCCAGCCAGGTAAATAGAGCTTTTATCAGTGTTTTCTTGTAGTCGAGAAGCTGTAGAAAATCTTTGAAAAGCCCTTTGAAGGAGTTTAATGGATTCAATGTCTGCTCTGCAGATCATGAGCAAATCATCAACAAAACAAATGTGAGTTATGCCCAGCTTCCTGCATCTAGGATGAAAGTTGAAATCACCATTCTCTGCCAACTGCATCATTCCTCTTTGTAAGTACTCCATAGCAATGACAATGAGGTAAGGGGACATAGGATCCCCTTGTCTGATCCCTCTTTTTCCTTAGAATGGTTTATGAAACAGTTGTAACACATTTCATAATCCATTCAATGAATTTGAAAGGGAATCCAAGATCACTAAGCATTCTTCTCAAGAATCTCCAGTCTATAGTATCATACGCTTTCCTTAAGTCCACTTTCATAACACATCTAGGAGATACACCTTTTCTGTTATACCCCTTGAATAACTCATGGCTGAAAAGTATGTTGTCAATGATACTTTTTCCCTCTATAAAAGCAGACTGTGAGTGCCCTATTATATTGCCAATCACCTTCTTAATTCTCAGTTGTAACACCTTGGCAATGATTTTGTACAAGGTATTACAACATGCAATAGGTCTATAATCCTTAACCTGATATTGCGAGCTAACTTTAGGAATCAAAGTAATAGTTGTGCAGTTCACCTTTTTAGACGTTTTCTTGTTTCAAAGAAGATTTGTACTGCAGCATACACCTCCTTCTTCATTAAGTCCCAATTTTTTGTAAAAAACTCTATAGGATATCCATCAATCCCTGGAGCTTTGTCTGCTGGCATGTCTTTGATGGCTATGTCTATCTCTTCTGTTGTCACTGGCTATACCAATGTTATTTTTTGATCCATATTCAACACTGGCCCTTTTTTGATAACTTCTGAGTTTGGACATATAATATCCCCACCACAGTTGCCCATTAACCTTTGAAGAATGTAATAAACTTTATTTCCACCTGTATAGGGTCTATGAGTTTGATACCTGTGTCTGTATAGATAGATGTGATTGTATTTTTGCTCTGTCTGATCTTCCATTGTGTATGAAAGTACATGGAGTTGGTGTCTCCACTCATAATCCAGTTTGCCCTGGATTTCTGTCTGAGTGCTTGTTCTTCAATGTTATTTGTCTATATCAACCAGCAGCTCCTTTGTCACGACCCAAAACGTAGCCTAACGTGATGGCGCCTAACGTGGTACTAGGGAAGCCGACACCTCAAAACTTATCCAACACTTTTATGTAAATAATGAAATAATACATGTTTGAATAATTAAAGTTCTCATAAACTGGATAGGAAGTCAAAACTCAATACGGAAGTTCCCAAAACCAGGGTCTCACTCCGTGCATGAGCATCTATACAACACAATTTTGAAAATACTGTCTATGAAAAACTGAAACTAAATACATAGAGTTGAAAGATAGGGAGGGAGAGTCAAGGTCTGCGAACGCCGGGCAGCTACCTTGAAATCTCCAAAATGATCAAGCCAATCAGAAAATCAACACCCACTGTGTCCGAAAACACCTGGATCTTCACGCGAAGTGTAGAATGTAGCGTAAGTACAACCAACTCAGTAAGTAAGAAGACTAACTATTGGACTGAAAGTAGCGACGAGCTTCACAGATACAATTCAATTACAGAAAATACAATACAGGAAAATAGACATACTTTCAAATTCGACAGTTAAAGCTAAAACAGTTAATTCATGTCAAGTTCAATTGAAATAGGATATGGTATCTCTTAGAAATTTCATGACAGTGATACATGCCAGCTGAAGTACAACAATAATGAAATCAAATGCATATTCTAAGAGTAACAGTCACTCAGTCCTCCCATTCACTCCAACCTCACAGTCCCTCATTCCTCGCCATCTCTCATCTCTCCCAGACACTCGGCACTCGCACTCGCACTCAGTAGGTACCTGCGCTCACTGGGTGTGTACAGACTCCCGAGGGGCTCCTTCATCCCAAGAGCTATAACAAGCCAATTATGGCATAAATTAATAAAACATGCCACGGTGTGTAGCCTGCTCCCATAAATACTCTCACAATTAGGCCCTCGACCTCACTAAGTCATCAATCTCTCCAGTCTCTCGGGCTCTCAATAATCATGATAATCAACCCAAACAACGATGATATAATGTATCAATAAAGTACAATAGAGACTGAGATATAATATGCAAGTAAAATTATGACTGAGTACAAAATAGCAATTTAGCAGATAATTCAACATGTAACATGACCTCTGTGGGTCCCTAAGTACCAACACATAACCTAAACATGATTTCTAACATGATTTGCAGTTTAATTTCTATAACACATGGAGAGTATACGAATAACAACAAATTATTCAACTATACAGTTCCATGGAATTGACCTAGTCACAATTTCTACGGTGCACGCCTACACGCCCGTCACCTAGCATGTGCATCGCCTCAAAACCAATCACATGACACATAATATGGGGTTTCATACCCTCAGAACCAAATTTAGAACAGTTACTTACCTCAATCCGTGCAAATCCCAACTCCAACACACCCTTGCCTCGCGAATCGGCCTCCAAATGTTCTGAATCTAGCCACAAGTAGTTCGATACAATCAACATGAGCTAAAGGAATCAATTCCACAAGAAAATACTAAGTTATTAATCAAAAGTCAAAAGTTGACTCAAAAGCTGGCCCCGGGCCCACATCTCGAAATCTGATAAAAGTCATAAAATCCGAAAGCCAATTCAACCATGAGTCCAACCATACCAATTTTACCAAAATCTGACACCAAATCATCAATCAAATCCCCGAATTAAACTCTCCAAATCTGTAGCCTCAAACTCCCAAATTATACCTCAAAACCACATAATCTAGGTGGGAAAATCAATGGGGAAACATAATTATTGAATGAATTAAACCACACGTGACTTACCTCAAGAATCCCTTCGAAATTCCTCCCAAAAATCGAGCTTGAAATGTCCAAAAATGAAGAAAATCTCAGAAACCGTCGAATTTAAACACTACCCAGTGCTTTCGCATCTGCGGCCAAATATCCGCACTTGCGGAATCGCTTTTGCGGAAAATCCTTCGCTTCTGCTGAAGTCACTTAAGTCCATAGGGTCAGCACCTGCGCTCCAGGTTCCGCAGTTGCAGAAGCGCTTCTGCAGCCCATAATCCGCTTCTGCGAAGGCAGCCTATGCCCCTCTTCTCCGTATCTGCAGAGCCTTGCTCGCACATGCGGGCTCGCACATGCGGATTACTCCTCGCACCTGCGTCCTACCCCAGGCTAGCCCAGCTCCGCACCTACGCAATATCAGCTGCACCTTTGGCATCGCACCTGCATCCAAGACCCTCGCAGGTGCGATCACACCAGAAGGCTCCTAGTTCAGCAATGCACTAAGTCTCATTTTCGATTTGATAACCATCCGAAATCAACCCGAGGCCTCCCGGGACCTCAACCAAACACACCAACAAGTCCTAAAACATGATATGAACTTAGTCAATCTCTCAAATTACATCAAACAACATAAAAACATGAATCACACCCAAATTCAAGCCTAATGAAAACTAAGGAATTCCAACTTCTACAAACGATACCGAAACCTATCAAATCACGTTCGATTGACCTTAAATTTTGTACACAAGTCAAAAATGATACCACGAGCCTACTCCAACTCACGGAACCCCAATCCGAGCTTGGTATCCACAAAGTCCACTCTCGGTCAAACTTCCAAATTTCCAACTTTCGATATTTCAAGCCTAATTCCACTACAGACCTCTAAATCAAAATCCAGACATGCTCCTAAGTCAAAAATCATCCAACGGAGCTAACAGAACTATCAAAACTCCATTCTGCAGTCGTCTACATATACGTCCACATCCGGTCAACCTTCTCAACTTAAGTTTCTATCCTTGAGACTAAGTGTCTCAATTCATTCCGAAACCTCTCCGGTCCTAAACCAACTACCCAAACAAGTCACATAACAACTATAAAGCATAAAAATGAGCAGTAAAT